ACCCTAAAATGATACTCATTCTTCAATGTCCTGTTCACATATTCACATTCTCTAAGAAGCCTTCCTTGTCCAGTCTGCTATTTCCCATTACACTGTATACCAACATTCGCTTTTAGGCCTATCTCTTATACACTCCTCAAGAAAGTAGTTGTCCTTGTATTATTCTCTTATTTAATCCTTGTTGCAACTTTATCTAGTAGGTACTATCATCATTGTCACTTTATAGATAAGAAAACTGAGATTTGAAGAAGGTAACATGTCCAAGGTGACAGGGCTTTGAGAAGCAGAGTCAGGAGTTAAAACCAGGTCTGACCCCCGAGTCCATCTGTTTACTACTATAAATTTCAGCCCCATGGCCTAATGTTGAGTGATCCAAGAAATGTCTTGTATATTAATCTCATTCTTAGTTTCATATTATATTCCTTCTCCTGCTTTTTCTTTATCTTGATTTCCTTACCCTTTTATTAAAAATCTGATTTTATCTAGTCGTACTGGTAATGTATTTTTGCCTCTTCTTAGAAAAATATGGGCTATGTATAAACAATAAACAAAGTGTGTGTGACTCCTGGTGTTTCTCTTCCTATCCTCACTCACCCTTCCACCCTCCCCACCCTTGATTGGCAGGGACTGGGCAGCACCTCACCAATGAAAGAAGGCTGGAAGAGGGTCTCTGGGCAGCGGAAGCGCTCATTGCCAATGGTGATGACCTGTCCATCTGGCAGCTCATAGCTCTTCTCCAGGGAGGAAGAGGAGGCTGCTGTGGCCATCTCATTCTCAAAATCTAGAGCCACGTAGCACAGCTTCTCTTTGATATCTCTCACAATTTCTCGCTCGGCTAGAAGGAGTAGAAATGACAGAAAGCAGACACTTGGTTCTATTAGTTTGGTTGTCCCATTTTGATCTCCACGAAAATCTTCTTCTTACTTCTACTTTGGATTCAGTTTTAGGATGAATGTTAATTTTTTTATTTCTCTTCCTAAAGGGGAAGTTCAAAGTCTTGATTCTCAAGTAAAATGTTGCGCAAGCTTTTCTCCTTGCTGTCTTCACTCTGCCCTGACAATGCTGCAGACCTTCCTGAGGGCCTTGCAAGACACACTTCTGGTCTGGATGTAAGCTTATATGCTGTGACCTTTAGACTCTGGGACAGCCCCTACCTAAAACCCCATCTTGCTCAGAGTGGCCACTGAGGCATGACACTTTCTCCTTAGATATTCAGACTTTATTTGTTCCATGTGTCCTCAGACAAATCATCAATGCCCCCAGGTAATAAAATGCATCACCAGGTCTTACTGCCATTCAGCACTGTTAAAAACTAGCTCTGATCCTGGTGTGGACATGGACAGAGGTAGCATGTCCCAGGGGAAGGAGGGAATGCTGTGAAAGGGCACTTAAGGGGCCCATAAGAGCTCTTCTTACAATAAGTAGGCCTAAGCCTTGTCTCCCTCCCCAGGGCATTTTGGTCGGGAACCTTCCTCCTTAAATAAGCCTTCCTAAATTATCTGGTCTTATCTAGAGGTCCAGCCCCAGCCTAGGGCCTTCCCATCAACCCAAATAGAGTTTGAGGACACAGAGCTACAGACTTTTCATCAGTCCTGAGAACTTCTCGTGGAGATCAGATTTGGTTCTGAACTGATCTTGGAATCAGACAAGAGGCTGGATACCTGTGGTCACAAAGGAATAGCCTCTCTCTGTGAGGATCTTCATGAGGTAGTCCGTGAGGTCGCGGCCTGCCAGGTCAAGGCGCATGATGGCATGGGGCAGTGCATAGCCTTCGTAGATGGGGACGTTATGAGTGACACCATCCCCTGAATCCAGGACGATGCCTATGGACAGAGGGGATATGACCGATGAGAGTCTTTCTTGTCTTTCATCTGTCTCATTCTGGGACCAGTTACCAATGATCTCCAACAGCCATATTTTTCTTTAGCAGCTGAGAAACACTATAATATTGTTATTTTATTATTATTATTTAGTATTGTCCTGGTGTTCTAGATAATGCAATAAGACACAAAATGAAAAAGAGTATTATTGTCAAAAGGAAACAGAACTGTCATCTGCCGGTTATATGGTTATATACCTAGAAGACCCAAGAGAATCAACTGGAAATGATTATAACTAATAAGATGATTCAGTAAGGGCTAGATGGAAAAATAAATATCCAGGGACTAGTAGATTAGTCTTGTACAAGGATGTTGATCACAGCATATTTTATAATAAAAAAAAAAATGGAGATAGCATAAAGGTCGAGCAGTAGACAAATGGTAAAATAAACAAATAAATTATGGAACCATAGACAATGACTACCACATGGCCATTAAACATGATATTTACAACATAAAATCAAGTGCAAAGCACAGGATTCAAAACTGTATATACCCTGTACTTCCCTATCACTGTCTCTATCACCTACAGTGAAATTATCTTTTACTTTCGTTTCTCCCCCACTAGACTGTTCACTCCATAATGGTAGGGTCTGCCTTGTTTATAAGTGTGTGCCCACAGCTTGGTGCAATGTTTGGCACATGGCAGGCAGGAATGGAAAATATTTGATGAATAAATGAATGGACAAATTACTGAATACATGAATGAATGTTTGAATGATGTTCATGGAAGCTGTGAAGTCCCTGCTAAACATCACTTATTTTGAAGCTTCCTCTGTTTCTTTAAGCACCTTTCTATACCAAAGACACATACTTGCATAGTCACCATCACAGGTTTTGCTGCTGCTGTTTCATGAGCAGAAACATTCCGATACTGTTGGAAAGTGTGTATAAGTTCCTGGACTGACTACTGTGAGGGAAATGGTCCTTGCTGGATGTACTAATTATGGTTTGTTCATGTGAACTCTTTCCAGCTACACTGGGCAGATTCACATCCACATGGTTTTCCCTCTGTTATCCCTATGCGAGGTTTTCCTTGGACTTTGGCTATTCGTTTGATTCTTCTGAGCAGAAACCTCTGCAGGAGCCCAGCTTTCCCTTCCTCCCCTTTAAGTCAGAAAGGGGACGATTACAGCAGGGCTACCCACCGGTTGTGCGACCAGAGGCGTAGAGAGAGAGCACAGCTTGAATGGCAACATACATGGCAGGGACATTGAAGGTTTCAAACATGATCTGAAAAGACAATGAAGAATTAAAGACTGTCTGGCAGAAATCACACCACCTCTTGACCCAAAGAATGGTTTGCAATCTTTTTAAGGGCAGGAACTATGTCTATTTTCCCTACTCCCACCCCCTACAGGGCCCAACATTGTCCTAAAAAAATTCTATTGCATTGATGCATTAATGGGAGAAAGGATCTGGCTGAACATCCATGTTGCATATTTGAGCCAGTGCTCAAATCTGCCTGGCCTCTTACCTGGGTCATCTTCTCCCTGTTAGCCTTGGGATTAAGGGGTGCTTCTGTGAGCAGGGTAGGGTGCTCCTCAGGTGCTACCCGCAGTTCGTTGTAGAAGGAGTGGTGCCAGATCTGTTTGGGACAAAAGTCAGATGAGTCCAGCAGACTTCCAGTGGGCTGGAAAGTCCCCATTGACATGTCCATGCTGTGGAAGTGTGGTACGATGTTCTCAGGGTGGGCTGGGTCTGGGGAGGAGAGCTGTCAGCCCTGAGAATTTCTGATTGACCTTTAGAGGTTATATTCCTTCTCAGCAGAGCCCAGACAGGATTCAGACCTGGGGCCAACACACGTAGTGTATTGATTATTTCTATTAGACCTTCCCTCCTCTTTCCATTGGACTCTTCTCCCTTCTCTCCCCTGCTTTGTGCCCAGTGGGGCCAGACCCATTGCGTTTCTTAGTGTTCCTTGCTTCCTGTCATCTGCTTATGTTTGGCTGATGGATGGTACCAGCAAGAGTTGGGGAGTGAACGGAGGGAGAGCAGTCAGGGTGCTTCTCCTGGCAATGGTGACCCCACATCAGGTAGCCCCTCCTCCAGGACTCCAGCTCTCACCTAGTTCTAGTGACATTCCCACCTCTCACCCTCACCTCTAGTCTTAGGGGTGTAAGAGCTTCCCTCTGTTGCTAGTACCTGGGTGCCTCAGCATCCCTTTCTGGTTCCCTAACTCTGTAAGTAGCCCTTCCTTAAATTAACTCACCAACCCCAGCTGAGTGTATACTGTCTTCTGCTGAAAACCTGACAGATATACTTGAACTTCTATTGTTGCTATTGATTGAGCTGGTGCCTTAGAGCAGGGTTTCTCAACCTCAGTACTTTGACATTTCAAGTTGGATAATTCTTTGTTGCGGAAGGGTGCTGACCTGTGCATTGTACGATATTAAGCAGCATCCCTGGCCTCCACCCACTAGATGCCAGTAGCACCTCTTCAGCTGTGTGACAAGTGAAAATGTCTCTAGACATTACCAAATGTCGCCGGGGAGGCAAAATAGCCCCAGTGGAGAACTACTGTTTTAGGAGAAGTTATTTCTTCCCTCTGCATCCAGTTCCCTCTTCAGTGATCCCAGACCACAAAAAGAGTTTTTTATTTTTTTTACTTCAAAGGGTTTTGTTTTGTTTTTTTTTTAATTTCAGAGGGATTTTATTTTTTACGTCAGAGAGATTCAGCAAAGAGTGTCAGGGACCTAAGGGCTTTGATCTCCTTAGAGGTGGGGCACAGGATCATTTGATTCCATCGTACCCATATGTTAACAGATGCCTGGCTTTGTGCTAAGATGGTGCTAAGTGTAAGGATGCCAGACATGAACCAGACATGGCCCATAGATCCTACTTTCAAAGTCTGGAGGAGAGAAAGACAGACAAAAAGACAAAATACAAAGACATCCACATTTTATGTGAAGGTTGAGGCAGCAGTAGTTCGTTTCCTAGGAGATTTAGGTAGACCCAGAAGGCAAGGAAGGTCTGCACAGGATGAGGAGGCCATCTGAGGCAGAGCAAAAGGCACAAGCGGGAGGTCCTGGAGTTTGAAAGGGTCACAAAAGACGCGAAGGAGATGGCAATCAGTCTTAATGAGGTGATGTCAGTATATCTTCAAATGTGGGCCCCAGGAGCCTTCTATCAGCATCACTGGGAATAACTGCTCCAGGTGGGTACAGGTTCCTAGGAGTATCCCAGAGCCATAACCCAGAATCTTTGGGTGTTGGACCCAAACATCTGCATTTTATTTCATTTTTGGGGGTTTATATAAAGTCCTTTGAAAATGAAGGATATTAATAATGTTAAAATTAGAAAAAGTATTTTTAAGAATAAAAATCTTCCATATTTCTATCACCTAATAATAAACTGTTAACAACTTGCCATTTTTCTTCTTCCTAAATTTTACTTTTATGTATTTTCAAATTTATTACTATTGCTATTCGTTTATTTCATATACTTCTATTTACTATATTATTATTATATTTTTATGTTCCGTTTCATTTTCCTCCACTTTTCAGTTAATATAACAGAAATAATTTTCTTTTTCATAGTAAATATTTATCTTTAACAAATTCAACATTTATTTTTAATGCTTACACATCATTTCATCATATACTATTACCTATTTAATCATATTACTATTTGTGATATCTTCGACTTTTGTTTTTAAATAATCCTGTGATAATCATCTTTGTACATATTACATTTTTTTCTATTCAGGATATTTTTCAAAGAAAAGAATTCTAACAGTGGAATTACTGGGCTAAAGAGTATGGCAATTGGAAGACTTTTTGATTTTTATTATCAACAAAGAGGCTGAATTACTCTTTACTCCAGAAGGATAAAGTGCCTGTCTTACCCTAACCTGTATTCAGCATTCTTGCTCTTAAAATATGAAATAATTTGATAGATAAAAATAATACCTAGTTGTTTCACTTTTAGTATTTTTATTTCAAATGTATTTAAACTATTTCAAATTCGCAACTTTTTATAATTTTTTTGGCAAATTATCTGTTCATATTCTTTGTCTGGTGGCAACTGTATTTTTAATTATCAATTTGCATTAGCTATTGATATTAATCCTTCACTGCACTTTCTGTGAATATTTTTTGCAATTTGTTGTTTGCCTTTTAAATTTGGTTTTATTTAAAAAAATAAATTTGGTTTCATTTTTCACATGCTGAAAGTTCTGATTTTTCAGAAATCATATTTGTTGTTCTTTTTCTCTATGACTTCTTTTACCAAAATTTGATAAATACTCACACTATACTGTATTTTTTTTATCACTTGAAATTTTTATATTTAACTTTTATATTCAATTGATATGTGTTTGGTAAATGGTATGAGGTAAACGCAATAAACAAAGATTACTCACCCCCCAAATAAGTAATCAGTTGTCCCAGAATAATTCACTGAATAATTTTTTTTTCCTCTCTGGTTTGGAAGTTTCATTTATCATGTAAATACATGAAAATTCTCTTTACCTTTGTGCTGGTACCAAATTGTTTTAATTTTTATAACTCTATATTACATTTTAATATCTGGACATGGCAAGTCTCCTCTCATAGCTTTTCTTATTCATTTTGTTTTAATAAATTTTGCCTTATTTCTTTCTCCAAACATACTTTACGATTATCTTGCATAATTAAAAATTGTGATTCTTTTTTTTGGTCAAACTCATAGAAGTAGAGAGTAAAATGGTAGTTACCAGGAGGTAGGGGAGAGGGAAATAGACAGATGTTGGTCAAGGGTGCAAAGTCTCAGTTATGCAGGATAAATAAGTTCTGGAGATTGAACGTATAACATGGTGACTATAGGTTACAATACTATATTGTGTACTTCAAATTTGCTAAGAAAATAATTCCTAAGTGTTCTCACTATAAGAAAAAAAGTCAGTATGTGAGGTGACAGCTATGTTAATTAGCTTGAATGTAGCGACTGCTACACACTGTGTATGTGTGTATATATATGTTTCGGATCATCAAATTATACACATTAAGTGTATATAATTTAAAAATTATGATTTTTATTGAAATAGCAATGACACAATAAATTAATTTGAGAAGATTTGACAACTTTATCCTATTCAATTTTTCTTTTTAGGCACATCATATATTTTTAGGGGTTTCTTTAAAGAGTTCGTATTGTTACTACTGTGAATAAAATGTTTTGTCTGTTATGTTTTCAAAATAGATATTGTTAAGAATATATGACTATGTGCCATTTGTTGAGCATTAAGTATGTTCCCTGCCTTGGGGTTATACTAAGTATTTATCTCATTTGATCTCCAATGCAACCTAATGAAGAAAGTATTTTTATCTCTGCAAATAAGGAAACTGAGGCTTGGAGGGAAGGGTTTGCAACCAGATCTCCTAGTCACTGACTCCAGTGTCTTTGCTCTTCACTGTTCCACTGTGTGAAGTGAAAGCTATTGCCTTTTATCTATTTATCTCACATCCAGAGTGACCGAATCTATGAGTTAGAGAGAAGTATAGTGAATTACAGATTTCAAATCAACATTCTTTATTCCCAGGGGCGGTCTTCTCAATAAGCCCTCTATTACATTTCAAAAGGCAGTCACTGCAGAAACAAGAACTCTCAGCCAACTGTCAGCAGAATTTATCAAAAGGATATAAAAAGGCTCTATTAGCATTTTGCACACATGATTTTGTTGATCACAAACCACCATTTAAAAATTCCTCCCCCTCCCCCCACACCCCGGCCTGGTATTTCTTACACACACACACACACACACAAAATGCTTCTAGAAACCCCTATAGATTCCTGCTTAAAAATTTCATTAGAGAATCATCATAATAATATAGCATCAATGCCACTATCTGAGGTCATGACAGGGAAAATAAAAGGAAAAGAAGCCATTTACCTCTCTAGGGACAATAGTAGCATTTGAAAGAAGGGATAAGCCACTGGCTTAGAGTGAAAGCTGTGTGAAAAGATGAAGCTGGGAATTAAGGCAGAGCCAGGTCCTCAGAGGCCAGATAGGGAGTTCAGAACCTACCGTTGGTTAGTGAGGACCTACAAAAGGTTCTTGAGAAGGTGAGTGACATGACCTGATCTGTTTTTAGAAAGATAAGCTTTGCAGCAGTGCAGAGAATTAATTAGGTGGGTGAGGCAGGAGACAAATCAGTCAGGAAGTCACTGCAGTAGTCCAGTGAGAGAAGTTGGCATCGTTGATTGGAAAATGGCCATGGGATGCACAAGAAGGAAAAGAGGATGTGAGAAGCATTTTAGAGGAAGAGTTGACAGGGCACAGAGGACTGTGGGATATGAGGGGCACGATGATGTATTATCATTAAAATAAGCACGTTAAAGGAGAAGTCCACCGATACCTTCTCCATGTCATCCCAGTTGGTGATGATGCCGTGTTCAATGGGGTATTTGAGAGTCAGGATTCCGCGCTTGCTCTGAGCCTCATCCCCCACGTAGCTGTCTTTCTGGCCCATTCCCACCATTACACCCTACAAAGCAAAAGAAGAGAAACGTGAATTGGCTGAGGGCTCACATTAGAAGGACTCAGGCATCAGAGGGTCTCCAAAGAAAGATGAAGATAGGAAAAATGTCCTTCTTCCCCAGGAAACAAAATAGCAGGAGACAAGGGTAAGGGAGATACCAGTGAATGAGGAGATGATGGGGAGAGAAGGTGGAGGGTTTCTTGTGGGCTTGTTTCTCTTCTCTCTCCTAAGATAATGTCCTTTTCTGAGAGAGAACAGGGCCCACTCATACATTTCCTCCCCTTACTTTACTAACCACACACACACACACACACACACACACACGACTTGTACTTGCCTTCCTCAGATATCCTATGCTCAAACTTTACACCTCCAAATCTTTGCTTGTGTTGTTCTCTCATGTGCCGAGATCCTCCTTAACCTTAGTTACCTTTTTTTTCTTTTCTACAAACGATTCCTGTTCCCTAGTCCCTTCATTCATATTTATTCTCTCCTTCCTCTGTGCTCCCTGGTGAAATATTTTGCCTCTATTCCAACTTGTGATCTCAAATTAGTTGTGGGTATATCTTCACAGAATATAAATTTCTTAAAAGCAAGGGACTTGTTTAATCACATATATTTTTTAAAGTTTTTTTTCAAACCTAGAAACCCCAAAGACTTAAGCCAGACATAGTAACATCATTGCGTGTCTGATGGATGTTTTAGAATCTGGATATTTCTATTTAAAGGGTCTTGCTCTATTAATCAGAAGAGAGAGGCCTACCCCCCAA